AAGCATCTCACAGAATATCAGGGATGGCCCAAAGGCCAGTGGGCGGAGTTGGACTAAGCTGCACATGAGTTCCAAGCGTTGGCAGCTTATAACGCATATACGGCGAGAGCGAGGAATGGTACCTTGCCAGCTCGGTTTGGGAACCCGGGCGCAACCTGGCCGGCAGGCATCTACCCCATGAGCGATGGCTGGGTGCCACCTTGTTATCCGAAAGAGGAGGAGTTTCAGAGCAAAAGGAAATCGAAAACACATCAACATGCTTGCATGAGCTTTTCCAGCAATGACTCGCGTCCTGCGAGGAGCTGATTGAGTACGAAGAAAAAATGAAGGCCCGAAAGAAAGCGACGCTGGTGAAGCGTGCCCCGGCGTGTTTAAGCAGTTTGTATTTGTGATGCGGTTCATGATCGGTTCGACCACGAACTGAGTGTCGCATTCATGTTTCTTCTGAGGTCACTTGTGCGTCAAGGAGCATTGCTTGATCGGATTCCGGCTAGTCTGCACATGCTGGCTAACAGCTGCTAACGTCCGTGGCGGGGGTGAATGCACGTAGCAATTGCCGAGCATTGCGGAGCACTCTGCGAGTCTCTGGAGGAGCCTCAGCTGCAACGCCTCTCCAAGCGTGCCTTTGCTCAGAAGAGCTCAGGCCCCAGGTATCGCCTTTCATGTGAATCATGGTCACGTCAGGGGCAGAATCTTGCAGTAGCGGTCGGAGGTCTGTGTCTCCGTTGCATCCGTCTGCCGGAGAGTGAGAGAGGGAGTATGAATAAAGGCCTGCTTGTGCTCCTGTGGATGTGACAGCTTGGCATGCAAGTGGACGGGCCGGTGGTTGGGATGTGCTTTACCATGGCCTTTCCGCAGGGGAGACGCTCGCTCCGGCATCAAAACGCTTGACACACGAACAACATGAGTGGGTGTCCAGGTGAATACTCCATGCTGGCCTACGCTATCGCCGAGGGCGAGTACTCGGGTGAAGGTTCGAATCATAGAGTGTGCGACGCAGCATTATTTCCCAATCACCCCGGTGGTCGCCCAATGATTGGCTCTCCCCCAGTCTTGGCCCGAGAAAAACTTAAAGAGAAAGCGGATCACTGATGAGGTACCCCGGAGGCCCTTTGAACAAACTTGATCAAGTCTTTATTTTTTGGAAGAATGCCGTGCACCACTGCTTGCTTAGAGAAGTGTCTTGGCCACGGTACGGTAGCTACATGTAGCTACAATCAGTATGTAACACGCAGACCATTCTGCAATCATGCAACTGCACGAAGAGTTCTCTCCTTATGGTGAAGTCAGCTTTTCGCGCACGTTTGTAAGTATGTCCAAGCAGTTGACGCTGTGGTAGAAGGCGGTAGAGCTCGGCGCGGCAGGTGATGATCGGAGTTATTTCGTCATCGTGTTCTATGAGCCTGCCAAGAAGAGCAAGGCCTGCCCATAGTTGGTGAGAATGCGACGGACATGCGACGGACGGTGGCGATTGCTGTAAACTGAAATCATCTGATGCCTGCAGCTTCTACTGCCTTTTCCCTTGTCGTCGGCGGTGGTCCTCGTCAACGTATACTTGTCGAGTTTTTGCCTGAGCGTGCCTCACTAGGTGGAGCGTGCCTTCAAGTCCGTGGGCGCAGCATTGGCAGACTACGAACAGGCCGGGCAGGAATGGCAGGAAGTGGTGCCAGCAGCTTCACCTCTGAGTAGCTGCAGCTGTGCCAGGTCGTGGTTGATCCTGATTCCAAGATGGAGCAGGAGGCAAGGCCTGGCTTTGTCGAAGAGACTCGTGGAAGTACGGGTGCATGTGGAAGACTGTGGACGCAAGCGGAAGTTCGAAGACAATCGAAGCCACGCACTGAAGTCGAAGCCAGTTGGCTTCACATCCGTCGCCACTTCTCCTTCTTCGGTTCAAAGTGCTATAAAAATGAACAGGTGGAAAAAACGAGTTGTCTGGCAGGAGAAGTTCATGTTCGCACATGGGGCTGGCGATCCCGGTGAATGTATTCTGGGCGAGTCGGGCTCCCAATTTGCACACTCTTCAGAGGCAGTTCCTGTGCATTCTGTGCACTTATGGGCCTTGCCAGGTACGAATACCAAGTGGTGCCGAAAGGAAGTCCGGAGTACGACGACCCCTGGGGTCCAACCCATCCAGAAGGCCAGCTGACACAGCTGGTCTTTGATTGTCGGTTTTCCAATGCCTTTGTCTCTGCAGAAGTTGCTGTGCGCTTGGAACTCGTATAACTCGTCACGGGACTTTCAGTGTTCGTGCCTGAGTTTGTGTACCCTGATCCCTCAGTGTCAGGCAAATTCTGGGAGTGACCACGTGCGAAGTGCCTCTCTTTGTGCGAGCTTGCCAGAGGGAGCGGTGTCTTCACCGCAACCCGTGCATTACGAACGGACTTGTATCGAAGCCTAGTCAGGAAGTGAAAGACCGCTCAGGCTCTGCGAGCATGCTACATGCACTGCAGGATCCTGCATGGCAAATCTGCCTGTGCAGTGTCCTGCTCTTCCACTCATTCCGCCCGCCTTGGTGGAAAAGGGTTTACTCGGAGAGAAAGGCTTTAGGCTCGCGACCTTGAAGTTCAACTGTCAGAGCCTGCGGACCTTCTGTCTCTAAGTTGCTGCCGGTTTTTGTACTTGTGTGCGGCAGTTGGCTCAGTGGCCACTCACGCGCGGCAAAGGGCCCCGCGCGGCCGGTGCCCAGGATGCCCTGGCCTCGTTGCAGCGCCTTTCACGGAGCGTTCCACTACATTCCACTACGACCCAGGCGAGCTGCAGCGGGCGTTCTGGCTTTTGTGGTGGGGCCCTCGTATTGTCGTATCGTGCCCAGATGGCAAGCCTTGCTGACTCGCCAGTGACAAGTGACATGGAGCCGTTCATGCTTCGTGTGTGTGTGTGTGTGTGTGTGTGTGGCATCGAGGGTTGTGTAACGGCGTTCTGATGCCAGGGCCCTTCGCAGGCCTTCTACTTGCTGCCTGCCTGCAACGAAAGCATTCATTTGTTGAATTGACTGGGGCTTTGCCCATAACGATGCCACCAGCTGCAGGCCAGGCGTTGCCCCCATTGAATATGCGGAAGGGGCACGCGTGGATTTGAAGGTGAACAAGCCCATGCCTCGTTCAGTAATCCATCATTTTATCATCCTCCTTTCGCAGAAGACCTCTGTTGACAGTTGTACGAGGCTCACGTCTGTCAAGACGCAGCTGCCGTATGGCTACTACACGCTGGGAGCCTAGAATACTGAAGAGGAGGACGGTGCCGTGTTCCCACGTCCCATGCCACAGCAAACCTTGACGGTTCGGCCCTCTCTTGCCAGTCAGGCTGCCGTTCTGCAAGCCAGACAGCGTCGTAGAAAGCGTGGAGAACTTGGGTGAGATTCTGGCTCCTTGGACAGCACCGACAGACAGGCAGGTCTCAGCATGCAGCAGGCTTTCCTGCATCAGATTTTGTGCTTGCAAGTACACTCTTTCATGCGCAAAAGTGCTTACTCACCTGCTGCTGTGATGTGGCGTTTCAGTGTAGGCCGTTGTAATCTTTCTGGCTTGCAGCCTGTGCTCGGCACAGGACTGCCGTGTTTGAACCGAGGCTGGAGACCTCATCGAAAACTCGCCCTTCGACCTAAGGATGGGCTTTGGCCTCAACTCGGTCCAGTGGTGTCGTCAGAGCAGTCACATTTTTTGCCTGTGAGGTGAGAACGAGAAGTGCAAAATGCTCTGCAAAAAGCCTCTAGAAGCTGCCGGCGCCCCAGACATGCAGGAAGGGAGCCTCTGCAGATGTCACTGATCTAGAGAAGATACCCGGCGTTGCCCGGCGGCGTTGCCCGGCGTCAGCTGACAGATCATCCTAAGACTCCGAGGCCGTGATTTTTGCCTTGCATGTGAACTCGAGCGCCAGGCAGACAAGGACAAATTCCGATCACGTATCGATGATGAGTATCTAGCCCCGACCTGAGAGACTTGCATTTGGGTCTTCGCTTTGGTTGCAGGCTGCAGTGCGGCCAGTGCATCAGAATGCAATCTGGCTTAGCCTCTCCATGCGTTCCGCGAGCAGGTGAACTTCATCGTGGACAATCTCCCTGCCGCGAGCCTAAAGCATGTCAACACGCACACACACTTTGTCAAAGGATAGTCGCACTCATGGCTGGTTTTTGTTGCTCACATGCTGCTGGCTTGCTTTGGGAAGTACCTGGCTGCACGTGTGTGAAAGCGGCTCAGATTGCTGCAGCCGGAAATGAATCAATGAATGCATGTGCAAACCCTCCTACAAACTGGAGGTCTTAACATGTGCAAGCACTGACTGGAGGTTGCTGCAACGGATGTGTGATGCACCAACAGCGATGATACTCAACGTACCGCGAGGATTCTGGTTGTTGTTATGTTGAAATCATCTCGGCCCAATCTCGGCAGGTATGTCAGGGTGATCAGCCCTGATGTTGGCGTTTGCTGTGGCCGCTTCGTTGGACCATCGCACACAAGCAAACGGATGGTCCCCTTACAAAAAGAAATGTGCACAGCGAGAAAGAGCGACCTCCCTTAGCCCATAATCTATAGGACAGTTCACACACACAAGTTAGCGACGCAGAGAAGCAATCACATGATGGAGTCTGCGTCCATATTCTGTTGTTAGGCCGCCACGAAGTACGTTCGCAAAAGCGATGGCGGCGAATTTACGCGCCCGGCTTGGGTGCAGCTGTACATCAGATGCACTGTGGAGGTTGAGTCAGATATGGGATTCCCCTTGGCATCCTGCTGCCTCTGGCGCAGAGGCTTTTGCAAGTCGAACCAGTCTCTAACGAGTTAGCAGGTGCTGCAAGCTCTGCAGGCAGCGCGGTAGTCCTGAAGCCCAGTTCAGAAGCCTTTCGGCTCTATGAGATACAGATTTCTCAGTTATCAGCAATTTGAGGACAAGCAGTGCCTTCACCCAATTTCAAGTAGCACTACCAGGTGATGATAGAAACGGGGATTGCAGCATTTTAGACTTGAAGTCCTGTAGCTTGAAGCGGCGTCTTTGGTCCGGCGATGGATGCAGGCACCAGCACGAGAGATGCCGATGTCTCGAAGACGCGGATCTAGTTTCACGTGATCTGTGAAGCAGAACGTTAGAGGCCCAATGTCCCACACTGTTGAACGACGCTGAGAGGTGAAGACGGCCGCGAGAGTATCTCTGGCCGCCCTTCTCCGGATGGTTTGCCAGTCAGCGTGCGCTCCTGCCTGCAGCGGAATCATGCCGAATTGGAACAGGTTCTGTGTGCCTCGAGCAGCAAATTCATTCAGGCACTGCGGTTGTAAAACCGGATTGAGAGGCTGCAAACCCAAAGCAAGTCTGCGATGATACCGGGGTATCAATGGGGCATCAATCAATATAGAACATGGCTTTCCCAGTAGACCAAGTCCCTTCTGTAGCGGGGACGTAAGGTGACTGGGTGGCGAAGTTTGCGGCAACACAGGATCCATGGCACCAGACGGAGGCGCTGCGGGATTTGGAGAGAAGGAACTCAGGGGTTGTGTGGCTTTGCAGGTTGCGGTGCCAGAAGAGCGTGGCATCGCGCTGGTTCCTTGACGTTTGTCGACTGAGTCTCCGAACACATCTCGTCTTGGCGATGGGGGATGATGGTAGTTTAGCCATAGCCATAGCTCATTTTGCGCGACCCCTGCCCTCCAGAATCAGGGGCCTCTTTCGTCACGTGCTATGCATCCAAGGCAGAGCCGTTCTTCGGGCCTAGGACCGAAAGCATGTCGCAGATGGTCACAGCATGCAAATGTTCTGTCCGGCACTGTCCCCCACCACTTCCCTCCAAATCTTGCAGGACTGGACGCAGCTTCGGACGCCCACCGAGGTGCACCCAAGGCCAGGACCAGGGTAGGCATGTCGCACCGATTTCCTGTTCGTTGCCAGATGACGAGATGCCAGAAGATCCGGAGAAGGAGTCTCTGCCGGACGAGGTGCGGTGAATCTTGCAAGGAAATGCTCTCCCGAGCAATCAGCCCTTTGGATTATTTCTCAGCTGTCCTGTGTCTTGATACTGCCACTGTTTTTTTGTGGTTCTACAGAAGGGCCGAGCTGCCTGTTGTGCCAGGATTCACGCTGGCTCGGTGCAGACTTCTTCACAGCACCTGGGCTGAAGCAGCATCGAGAACCACATTGATTGAGACATTGGCACATGGCCGCGTCCAAGAATCAATTCCATCTTCCGTATGACACCTTCTGTGCTCACAGGGCTCGTAGCCGGGACAAGCATGGTTAATTTGAGCTCCGGATACACGGCAAGAAAAGGATTGGGAATAAAACGGCGGGGTGCCAGCAACTGATCCTCTGAGGCTTACGCCAAGGCTGAAGATGAAGTTTGTTCGACGGACGGTTCCGAAGCTTGTCTCAAAGTCTCAGGGATGACTCATGCTGTTCTGCGCGCTGCCGGAAAAATGTTGAATACTTCTGGCTTCTAAGCTCCGGGATCTTCACCACAGCCGCAAAGGAAAACAGCCTGGACCAGATGCGAAAGACGGTTGCAGCCGCGAAGTTGTCCAAGAACGGCGGCTTGGTGGAACGACGGAGCAGCAAAGTGTGCAAGAAGGGACGAAGGGACCTTGTGAGACACCCGCGAAGCCCACCTTCGACACCGCGCACCGGGGCTCACCCGTGGATCATTCGGTTTGTTTTCGCTCTACTGCCGCCTCGAAAACCCAAGCTGCGGCCCTCAACATCTCATGCCCCGCACGACACGCAGTCACAGCTTATGCTACCCCCATTTGGGAGCTTTGTGTTGCGGGGCCAAGTCAAACACAGGCCCGCAAAGCACCCGCCGATACCATCGATGGACTTCTCAGGCTCACGCGAGAGTGAGCACAGCTACTCGCGAAGCATCTGGAAGCAGACGAACGAGTCCACCTGGAGCAGCTTGCCCTGGCTCTTTTCAAGAGAGTGGGACTGTGGGACATCTTTGAAGTCGTTTCGTAAACGCGAGGTTACCTGCAAGCTGTCAGCCGCGTGATCTTGCGCACGGCCCTCAGAGCTGAACATGGTCAGCGAAGCTTCCAGAAGACTCGGAGAGTCACGGAGAGTCGTCCTTCCTTCTCAGCGGCTGAGGCCATCGGGTTTTCGACGCCTTGTGTGGATCGATCATCATCCTGAACGCTGCCTTCATCGGAAGCTCGGCTCACAAGCTCACCTCAGGAGCTCAGGAGCTCAGGCGCTCAGATCTCCACTCCCTTTGAGGTGCCCAGGTGGAGTATGAAGCCGTGAACCCTGGAGAACCAGAGCTGGGCTGGTGGCTGGCAGGGCAAGCCTTCTTTTGTCGCTGAGCGTGGAATCACTTTTTGTCTCTTCTGTTGTTCAGGCTACTGGTAGTACACCTGCTCGCATTAGACTTTATACATTTATACAACCCACAGAAGGGCCAGAGGCTCTACTTGGGCGGAGAGTAGCTTTTTCAAGGCGACGTCATAGTCATGGGCTTCAGACAGCAGCCATCCTAGGCTTTGCTTACGTCGCCGAGCTCACTTTGCGATTCTTGACTTCTACTTGGAGTCGTCTTGCGCCGTTGCATGCAGTTTGCCAATGAGGCTGTTTTGGCCCTTGTAGTAGCGGATTCAGATTGTGCCTCAAAGACTTTTCAGACTTGAGGAGTCCTTGGACAAGGCAAGAACTTCTTCGGCTCCTCGGACCGGATCTTCTACCAATTCGTTGATGCTGATACAGAGAATGCGCGGTCTTCAAGTAAGTATTTTGTCCTTGTGCGCCAAAGCAGGTTTGGAATCCCAGCAGTCACCCATAACTCTGGTACCCACAAATCTGCAAGTTTTCTTTTCGAATCCCCTTTCGGACAAGCTGCAATGGAAGTCTCGAAGCTGTCGGTTCGAAATTCAAGTGGCCAGCTCCGTGAATCCTGCTTGTGTGAGTATTTCGGGCCTTTTCGAGTGTTGCCACGTTGACTTGAGCCTTCGGGTGTGGTGTTCATATTGCCGCTTTTCTCGTTTTGGCAGTATTTTCTGCTTGTTGCTTACTGCTTGCATGTTTATCTCATTTTGGCGGTCGTAGAGTTTCGGTTTTTGGGGCTTTTGGGTTGGGGGCGCTGGGGTGTAGGATTTAGGGTTTAAGGCTTCCAAGGTTGCTGCAGCACAGCTTAGGATTTCAGAATCAGGTGCTTCTGGTTTTGCATTGTGGGGTTGAGGGCTTGGGGTTTTGGGGTCGAGAGCTTCAGGGTTTCGGGTTGACTTGCGTAAGGTTCTGCAGAGCTTCGGCCACTTTATTTCGCAGTTAAGGGTTGTGGTGTTGGGGTGAAGCTTTTCGAGCTTCAGGGTTCAGGGTTCGATCCTTCGTCCCGCTTTCTACTGGCTTGCTTTTTGTTCTCTAGCTGCACCTGAGGCGTTGTCGATTGGAGGCAGCGCTGCAGAGCATCACCATCCGGCACTGTTCTAATCTCAGCTTAACACTATTTTAAACGTACAGAAAGCCTAAGTTTGGTTGTTTGTTCATGTGTTACTGTGGCTTATGTGCTAGGGGTTGTTCAGGCCAGAGCAGGTAGGCTTTCGTGCAGTTGGTGTGGGCCTTAAGTTGAGAAGAGTTTATGAGACAGCGGCGGGCGGGGTTGCGGGGGACGAGGGATTAGGGTTTAGGTCTGGTTCGGGGTTTTGTGCACCTGTTTTGTGCAATTCGGAGGTGGTAACTGGTGCAAGGGTTCACTGTCCACGAAAGTATTTCAACCGAGAACAGGCGCTATAAAGTTATCTGATTGGCGTGATGAATGGTCTGTGGGCCGACAGTGTGTGACCCTCACGACGATCGCCAAACCAGACCACGATCCCTGTAACTGTTCTATTGGCATTGTTGAGATATGACGACGATATCAATGCCTACGGCTTGGTCTAGGGTTCAGAAAGTTTCGGGTTCATGACACGCGGTTAGGGTTCAATTCGAGTGCTTGGCTTGACTAGCATATTGGGTTTGTTCACGGTGTGTGATGTTTCAGTTTAATGTCAATCTGTTGATGGGGGTCAGTGTTTCTTGATGCTATGGTTGATTCGTTCAGGTCGAGGTGTTTGAATTCGCGTTGTTGAGTAGGGCTCGGGCTTGCGGGTCGGCATTTGGGCACCGCTTGGGCTTAGTAGTTTAGGGTGCCTAGCTGGTTTCGGGTTATTGGTCAGGGCCAGGGCTTAGGGTTGGAGTTTGGGGCCTGACAGTAGAAGCTTCGAGGAGCTGCCGGCGATTCAAGCTGCATGATGTAAAGAAGCATGCAGCAATCGCAATGCTAGTAGTACTAGCCATGCAAAATTTTGTAGTCGTCCTTTCAATATTGTAAACCTTACTACTAACAGTAGCAATTATTCTGTCACTAGTTTTGTCTGTCATTCACTACTAGCCCGCTACTGCTGTTACTTTGAAGCAAAACCTACCACAAGCATGGCAAGTAGCGTTTGACAAGAGCAGTTCAAACTAAAAGTAGGTACATCGACCCATGCGTGCACACACGCATGCGCACAGATCGATGCGTGTGTATACATGTCTATACCTATCTATCCATCTATCCATCTATCTACCTATTTGTCTCTGTACATATATATAATATATACATGTAAAATATCCCTATATACCCCTATATAATTCTGCATATGTTCCATTTTACTTTCTCTTATCCGTCTATGCGAATCTTTATATGTATGCCAATGTATGCAGGTATCTACACAGCTCTATCTGTGTATGCAGCTGTATCTGTAGATGTATTCTAGTAGGCATGAGAAGATATGCGATGCAGGTGGAACGTTTTTGACATTTTTGTGACGTTGACCTCCGTGGTGGATCTGTTGCCGCTGGGAACGGAAGATAATGATGTTGCGATCATGTTGCAGCAACGCCGTCGACCAGAGCTTAGGTTTTCGTTTCTCCTATCGGGCAGCGAGACTGGTGCCCTTGCTGCCGCGCGAATGCTGCGGATGTGCCATGCAAGCTTTTAATTAGTTGTGCACCGGGTCAACATTTCGGAGGTGCTTGGAGCCTGGTCAGAAAACTTGCACAGCCAAGGATCCGAGTGGCGAAGATAATTCGCACCTCGTCGGCAGCGGTGCTGTGGGCCACTCCACACTGATTTGGACAGAGGTGGACAAGTTGAATTCAACACTGAGGAGTTGTTCGCTATCTTCGCTACATGCGGAACATGCTTCTCTGCAGCCGATAGTTTAAATTGGTTTCAAGTTTCAAGCTATGCGGCATGCCAAGGATCTTCACCTTGTTGCACACGCTCTCCTCTTTGGCATGGAGTCTGGACTTGCGGCTGCACTAGACCGAACCTCTCGTCCTTCGTCTCTGCAAGGCTCAGGTCCAGGTGTTGCACGCTGTGAGGCACTGATGGCTATGATCATGTATCTCTTTGCTGTTGCGATTACCGAAGCGACGACTGCGTATAGGGTGCATCATGGTCGGTGCCTCAGGTTCAAGCAGGTCGGCGGATCCTTGAATGTGCACGATGGGTTTCTGTCCCGAGGTCAGGAGTCGGAGTCTGTCAGGAAGCTTCAGAGGCCGCCAAGCAGCATTTAAACCGTTGATTTATCCGTGATTTCTCCGCTTCTTACACGTTTTTCCATCTTCAAGCCGTTTGTGGTGCACGGAGTCTTCTGGAATAGCTTGCAGTAAATCGCAACCATTGTCTTTGCGGTCACCTACAGTCGCGAGTGGTTAGCATACGCACGATTGTCTCGAGCAATTGTTTTTGGTCGGTTGGCCTCATCACACGTGGCTCCTTGAATGAAGACAGAAAATGCATTGCAGAAGCAGCCTCGGGACAGGTTCTGGGGCCACATCTCCAGCGTGCTGGCTGCAAGCACTTTCTCCAGTTGTTCTGCTGTTTGGTCAACCCTGCAGGTTCCATGTACACGTTGCTGCTGTCCATCACCAGCGGGATCAGCTGGGTGGAGCCTGCCTCTGCGCACCTCAGTGCAGAGATATTAAAACTCCAAGTCCTTCGAGGCAGCTTTCAAGTGGCAGTGGGAGTATTCACATGACTCAGGCTTAGCCAGCTGCACTTTGTGTATGCTCCGCTCTTTGCGTCTCGGCACGGCAGAGAACCTTCAACATGCACAGTCGTTGTGCGATTGTCGCTAGTAGCACTCGGAGCCGCGGTGCCGGTTGAAGTCCACATTGCGAGGTCCTATATATTTGTTTCATGTATTTCGCTATGATGAATGATGCTTGGCTGTAACTTCTGGTTTAGTTTGAGGTTGACGTGCCTTGTATGCATTCAGGGCCTCAGGCTCAGATTTTTTGGGGATTGCTGCCAGGTGCTATTCAGATTCTTTATTCCTTGCTTAGTAAAGTCTAGTGAAAGTGTTGTCCTGCCCGTAGTTGTTATTTTTTTGTGGTTGTGGATGTGGTTGTGGTTGCCGTGAGCTTGGTGTTTGGGAGCATATTGCGTGGCACTGCCCGCACAGGCCGGTCGGTGCTTGTTGTCCTCGTCCTCGCCCGGAGCTTTTTAGGTGGGGTTGGGTCTCCAAAGGCGAGAAACCGGACTTTGTTGCTCTCCATCGTCGGTTGTGCATTCAAGAGAGGCTCCTCTTGACAACTTTTCATCCTTAGTCAATCGTTTGCAGCTGCCTTGACCTCTTGGCTTGCTTCTGCAGGGTTTCAGGAGTGGACGTTGAGGAAAGGCTCTGCCTGTGCTTTACCCGTTTCGGGGTATTTGCATACCAAAGTTGAATTCGTCTGACTAAGGTTTTTCTGTCTTAGGTACCTTCGGGCAGGGCCACACGATGGCAAAGCTTTAGCACGTTTGGGGACACGACTCCGGCTCTTTGTTCTTGCTTAATCTGTACTCTTCTGGGTTGCCTGCGGCGATTCTGCAAATGACGCGTAAGTCGGCTTACAGTAATCCTTGTGCTCGCACTGTGGCCTGTGGTGCCACGTGGTCTCCTGCGGCCCTCTTGTATCTGGCACCCTTGTGGTGAACCGGCAGGGTCCTTTTTGTCCTCGGCCTCGCTTGGCGCTCTCTGCCAGGTGGGGTTGGGTAGTCAAAGGCCAACGGGTTGACTATGTCGATCTACATCGTTGGTTGATCACAGTCCAAGAAAAGCTCTGGGCAACTTTTCATCCCACGTGAATTGATTGCTGCTTCCCTGGGCTCTTGGTTATACTGCTTGCTTGCTTGGTTGTCTCTCTTGTTTGGACGCGCTGGCTCCTAGTGGGCCGCGCTTGTGCCTTGCCCGTTTCGGAGGTATTGGCGCCTACAAAGTTTTATACTGCCGATGTTAAGTGTTGCCTCAAGCTTCGTGCTATAGGCCCCGCTTCTGCTCTCATGTCATATGGTTGCCCCTCCT